CGTGGGGTGAAGCGTATGTCATGGTGTGGGGTGAAGCGTATGTCATGGTGTGGGGGGAAGCGTATGTCATGGTGTGGTGTGAAGCGTATGTCATGGTGTGGAGAAGGGTGTGCCATGGTGTGGGGTGAAGCGTATGCCATGCTGGGGTGAAGCGTATGTCATGGTGTGGGGGGAAGCGTATGTCATGGTGTGGTGTGAAGCGTATGTCATGGTGTGGAGAAGGGTGTGTTATATTAGGGTGAAAGACATGCCATGCCGGGGTGAAGAGTATGCCATGGTGTGGGGTGAAGCGTATGTCATGGTGTGGGGGGAAGCGTATGTCATGGTGTGGAGAAGGGTGTGTTATATTAGGGTGAAAGGCATGCCATGCTGGGGTGAAGCGTATGTCATGGTGTGGGGGGAAGCGTATGTCATGGTGTGGGGTGAAGAGTATGCCATGGTGTGGGGTGAAGGGTGTGTTATATTAGGGTGAAAGGCATGCCATGCCGGGGTGAAGCGTATGCCGTAGTGTGGTGCAATCTGGAATGCATACCATGATGAGGTAAAATGCATTCCCTCTTGGCGTGAAGTGCATGTCATTGTGGGATGTAGGGAATGTCATGGAGGGGTGACGGATCGTACCTGACTGTAGGTGGCTGGGTGAATGCAGGACAGACCTCTGACGTCGCGCTGACGCCGCGCCGACGTCGCGCTGACGCCGCGCCGACGTCGCGCTGACGCCCCGTTGCTGCTTACTTTCAGGTCTCGGCACAATCGGCAGCAACCTGACGCGGACCAAGAGCGAGTCGTTCCGCATATCGACGGTCAACGTCAACTACACGGTGTGTCGCACGTATCCAGCCGCGATCGTCGTGCCGTCAGCGATCTCAGACGACAGCATAGTGAAGCTGGCCAAGACGCACCGGCACAACAGGTAATCAGTCACTCACTCAGTCAGTCGCTGGCTCAATCGCTGGCTCGGTCACTCACTCAGTCAGTCGCTGGCTCAATCGCTGGCTCGGTCACTCACTCGGTCACTCAGTTGCTCGCTCACTTGGTCACTCGATGTTGTGTTTGTGTGGGTCCTAGAAAATTGGATAGGATTGAAAATCTGAAATGTCGGTCTAGAAATTCCTGTAAAATAGCCTATGGCCATTGAAATTCCTGGAAAACAGGCTCTTTTTTTTTTGGCCCTTAGAACAGTCATTGAAATTGAGCTCATGTCTATCTTGTCTGCAAGGCAATAAAATTTGTTTCTTATAAGCATTTGTTCTCTAACCATTATTTGAGCAATACTAGGCGCAAATACTGTGTTCAACTAAAAGCTCATAATCACGGAAAGTCGATAGATTAAGATCTGGAAAACTGCTGGAAAAAGGTTTGCCTCAGGTGCACGAACAGTGATCAACATAACGCTGCATCATCAACGACACTGACATCAATGTAGTGACAAGACATGGTGGCACGGGCAGTGCGCTCACTGTTCGTGCACCTGAGGCAAACCTTTTTCCAGCAGTTTTCCAGATCTTAATCTATCGACTTTCCGTGATTATGAGCTTTTAGTTGAACACAGTATTTGCGCCTAGTATTGCTCAAATAATGATTAGAGAACAAATGCTTATAAGAAACAAATTTTATTGCCTTGCAGACAAGATAGACATAAGCTC